TGTTGTTTAAATGATTCTATATTCCTGAGTATTTTGTGTACATCCCCCAAAAAACAAAAACCAGAAGGAATAAAGCAAATACTGTTAAATGATGATGCACGGAGGAGATTGTAATCATTGCAATGAAACAAAACACGGTAGGATGAGTGTAAAACCAATGTTCTCCCATGTAAACCATCACTCAATTTATAATAAAAATTTAAAAAGAAAAAGTAGTAGGGTACACTCAAGATAGACAAGTTCCAGCTGAGCTTCCAGAGTAGGAAGAAAGACAGTCAAACTAGTACTTAAATGTTTAGTCACTGAAAGCCTTATGAATAACAGTGGGGCATCATCAGAGAGCACCAGAATATTGTCAGGTATAGTGCTAGAGGATGAGCCCCACAGGTTGGAAGGCACTCACAATATGACTGGGGAAGAGCTACCTTTTCAAAGTAGAGCTGACCATGATGTGAATTGAGTATAGCTTTCAGGACCTTCATTTGCTGATGGGGCACAACTCAAAATGAGGAGAAATAGCTGTAAACATCCATTAGTACTAGGAACATGGAATGTTTGAAGTATGAATCTAGGAAAATTGGAAGTTGTCAAGAATGAAATGCAATGCAGAAAATCAGTGACCTACACTTTAGTGAGCTGAAATGGACTGGTAATGGCCATTTTGGATCTGACAATCGTGTCATTTACTATGCCAAGAATGACATATGGAAGAGCAGTGGCATTGCAGTCATCATCAAAAAGAATGACTTCAACCTTCTTCTGCCTATAACTGATTGGAATACCTAAAGTGGGGCTACAACGTGCCCAGTGAAGGAGGCTTCCTGTGGAGCCTCTGCATTACCTAAGACTATAGGTGGAAGCCTGAACCACATCCAGATCTTCAGAGATGGGAAATTTCCATTTGGAAGGATGAGCAGACCAGCCTGGAGCGTCTAGAAGATCAGAAGATACTTCTTGAAAGAAAGACCTACAGGAAAAATACAAAACAATAAAGACAGAACAACTGTTACTACAAGAACAAGCAAGTTGCTTGCCCAGGAGACATCAAGGCAAGTGGTTGGGTCCCCTCAGTGCAAACCCTCTTCCAAGACTAAGACTCAATGGGAACACACACTCTGATTGGTGACCACGCTTGTCACCGATAAGGGGAAGTGAGGGAAAAACAGCAATGAAGTTGTGAGCTAAGCCCTACAATGTTCAATAGACTCCTATGAACTGGGTGGAGACCTAGTCGGCCAGCAGTGTGGCAAGACCTAGGGACTCTTGAGCCCAGAGTCAGTGATAGTGCCACAAAGGACTAGAGTGGAGAGTGAAGCATCCAGCTGATAAGAAGAGAGGACATATGCACAAGAACACCCACAGTTGCAGATAATACCCACTTGACCTGGCTTCAATGACTGGATGATCAGAGCTCAACTAGAAGAAGAAAGAAGAGGGAAAAAAGAGTAATCTGATACAATTGATGAACTTGACTTACACTTATGGATACAGTAGCTCAAAAGAGGAAACAAATCCTTACATCAAGAATCATTCCCTGTTATCAGGACTGATTGTAAGGGTCGGAAATGTAAAGGTAGATGTTTTATAGCAAGGAGGCAAGTGATTAACAATTCAGTCTAGGAGTGGAGGTCCCTAGGACCATCAAGGGAGAAGAGCGGAGAGCAGGACCCTACCCCGAGAAGCATTGATACCAGAGATGGAGGCAGAGACGATGACGTGGAGAGATGGAGCAGCTGGGGACTTTGGATCGAGAGAGGGAGAGGGGCTGTGCGCTGATGACCGGGGGATGTGGGGGCAGGCTTGCAGGGTATACGCTTTGGTTGGTTGATGATGCATGGAGGGATTGTAACCATGGCAATGAAGCGATATACGATAGAATGAATGTAAAACTAATGTTCTTGCATGTAAACGATCACATAATTCACAATGAAACATAAAAAAAAAAAAGAATGACTTCAAGATTTGTCTTGAAATATGCTGTCTGTGATTGGATAATACCCATACGCCCACAAGGAAGACTAGTTAATACCATAATCATTCAAATTTATGCATCAGCCACTAAAGCCAGTGATGATGTAACTGAAAAGTTCAACCAACTTCTTCAGTCTGAAATTGATCAAAGACGCAATCAAGATGTATTGATCATTACTGGTGATAGGAATGCGCCGTTTAGAAACAAAGAGGAGGGACCAGCAGTTGGGAAATACGGGGAAACGATGCTGGAGATCGCATGATAGAATTTTGCAACATCAATGACTTCTTCATTGCAAAAAGATTTTTAAACAACATAACAGATGATTATACAAATGGACTTCACCGTATAGAATACATACACAGAAATCAAATCTGTTATTTATTTAAAAAGTTAGCTGAGATAACTTTTCTGATTTTAGCTATCCTCTCGTACCTGTGGACATGGAGACTACATCTGTATGAAGACATGGTGTGAAAGCTCCATATCATCAGTGAAAACAAGACCAGGGACGGACTGGAACAGACCATCAATTACTCAAATGCAAGTTTAGACTGAAACTGAAGAAAATTAAAACAAGTCCATGGTAGCCAATGTCTGACCTTTAATGTATGCCACGTGAATTTAGAGATCATCTCAAGAATAAATTTGATGCATTAGATACTAATGTCCAAAAATTATAAGATTTGTGGGATGACACCAAGAACAAACAGCAAGAAAGAAGGAAAAGGTCATTAAAAAGACAAGAAAGAAGGAAAAGACTAAATGAATGTCAGAAGAGACTCTAGAACTTGCTCTCCAGCATAGGGATGCTAAAGCAAGTAGAAGAAATGAAGAGGAAAAAGAGCTGTAGAAAACATTTTTCAAAGGCAATTCAAGAAGACAGAGTCTACTATTATAATGAAATGTGCAAAGACCTGGAGTTAGAAAACCAAAAGGGAAGAACATGTTCAGCATTTCTCAAGCTGAAGGAACTGAAGAAAAAATTCAAGTTTCGACTTGTAATATTTAAGGATTCTCTAGACAAAATACTGAATGATGCAGGAAGCAGCAAAATAAAATGGAAGGAAAACACAGTCACTCTACTAAAATGAAATGCTTGATGTTCATCCATTTCAAGAGATAGCATATTGAAAACTCCAGGATGCACTGAAAACATTGACAAAGACCAAGGCTCTGGAAACTCATGAAATGAAACTGAAATCTCAACAAACTGATGGAACGTTGGAGGCGCTCGCTCATCGATGCCTAAAAATTTGGAAGACAGCTACCTGACCAACTGATTGCAAGAGATTTATATTTGTGCCCATTCCAAAGAGATGTGATGCAATGGAATGTGGAATTTTTTTATTAATATTACATGCGATTAAAATTTTGCTACAGATAACAGCCAACTGCAACAGTCAGTACATTGGCAGGGAACTGTCGGAGGTTCAAGCCAGATTCGTACAAGGATGTGAAATGAGGGATATCATCGCTGGCCCTTCCCAGAAAAGCAAGGGCAGTGGAGATTGGAAATTACATTTCAATTTGTCAGCTAGAAAACTCTCTTTTGGGTTGAGTTTACAACTTTACAGACACCTGAAATAACTTTTCTGACTTTAGCTATCCTCTCATTCCTGTGGACACGGAGACCCTTTCGCCCTCTTAGTATTTTGTCCAGTATATTGCTACTTAGCTGTATTAATGACATCTATTAATCTATTAAAGAGGAAGACCACCAGCAAGATGGATTGACAAAGTGGCAGCATGAATGGGCTCAAGCGTGGCAACAATTGTGAGGTTGGCTCAGGACCAGGCAGTGTTTCATTCTGTTGTGCGCAGGGTCAGTATGAGTCGGTACCGTCTCAATGGCACCTAACAACAACAACAACAATTTATGTCGCACTCACGGATATAGTTTGCAGTGAATTGATTTTTAACCACAGCCTAGGACTTGAAATGGTTAAATGTGACTGAGTCTTCATCGATTCACAGTATTTTTTTTTTCTCATAATAACTTCTTTTCTTTCTGTTTCATATTGCGAACCTGAACTTGTATTGTTGTATCAGTCTCTCAAAACCTTAACGAGGAAGAAAAATTTTCCAGTGAACACATAATGGTGCGACTTATGAAGAATAATACCTGGTCTTCCATGTTAGGAGACGCGTCCATATCCCATGGTTACAGAGATGAGCATGAAAACCAGAGGAAACATTTGAGGTGAGTGTAATTTACAAAGGGAAGCGACAGCATCTCAGTAGAAAGTCTTAATTCATGTATCTTCACGTACACATGCACACACATATGTGCACACACATGCACACACGTGCATGCATGTATGCACACGTGTGCATGCATGTGCACATATATGCACTCTCACACACCTGGTACCTATACTTTTTGATGTAGCTTCATGTAATACATATGTTTGTATATACAAGGATGCTTCAAAAAATTCATGGAAATTTTCTATTTTTTTTTATTCCATTTTTCTACACCCTTTTTGAAGCCCCTTTATTACTATCTGTACTACTTGGTAAAGTAGATGATAAGTAAAAAAAGGTCTTGAAGGTGACTGATTGACACTGTCTGCAACAATATGCTTAAAAACCGCGACGATTGTGAATGTAGCACACTGACCATGCATGCAACGTTTCAGTTTGTTGTATGTGATGGGATTGCTCGGAGGTAGAACTGACTCAGGGGCGACTAGGAAGAACAGTTTGTATAAACCTAGCTGTAAAGGTATGTTTTCAGGGTATTTTCACAGTGTACCATTTTCAGGAGTAAGACATCTAGTATTTGAAACAAATTCCACTTAAACATAATTATCAAAATACCACATATTTTAGAAAAACGGACTATACTGGTATTCTTTTGGGTGTGTGTTTTAAGCTATAAAGGACTAGACTGTCAGGACCAAACCACACTTGTCCATTGTATTCGTGATGGTGAAGGGGGATCAAATGTATTTCCAACAACAATTTCTGCCTCCTGTGATTTTCAGCAGCAGTCCTGCTAGAGTCGAGAACATCTGTGACAGTCATGAAGGCAGTCAGTGTGGAGAAACCTTCCACCGGATCCCAGCTCTTACTGCGCTACCAAGAAATCCTCCAGAAGGGAACCCTTCTGAATGCTGTGAGCGTGGAGAAACCTCCCCGGATCGCTCGTTACATCCGCTTCATGCCGTTTCTCACACGGGATGCAGTACCTGTCAGTGTAAGGAATGTGGGAATGTCTGCAGCTCTTCCTCTCACCTAACCACTCCTGTGAGAACTCTTAATGGAAATACAGCCCATAAGTGTAAGGCCTGTAGGAAAGATTTCGTATGTGTCTCAATGCTTAACAATCATGTGACGACACTCCCAGGTGAGAAACTCTATAAATGCAGTGAATGTGGGAAACATTTCTGTAGCTTCTCATACTATTGGATGCATATGAGAAATTGTTGTACAGTGTATTGTCATCCTTCATCTCTCATTTTACAAGAAAAATTTCATAATAAAGAAATACTCTGTAAATGTAAGGAATGTGGGAGTGTCTTTAGTCACATCTCAGCCTTCACTGCACACGTAAGAACTCACAGTGGAGACAGGCCTCATGAATGTAGTCAGTGTGGGAGGTCCTTTAGATACCTCTCAGCCCTCACGACACACGTAAGAACTCACAGTGGAGAGAGGCCCTATGAATGTCCTCGATGTGGGAAAACCTTTAGTGAAGCGTCATCTCTCACTAAACACATAAGAACTCACACTGGAGAGAGACCCTACGAATGTAAGGAATGTGGGAAAGCCTTCAGGTGTTCCTCAGACCTCACTACACATACAAGAACTCACAGTGGAGAGAGGCCCTATGAATGTAAAGACTGTGAGAAAACCTTTAAGCAGCTCTCAGCCCTCACTAAACATATGAGGATTCACAGTGGAGAGATGCCTCATGAATGTAAAGAATGTGGGAAAGCCTTTAAGTACCTCTCCTCCCTCACTACACATAAAAGGACTCACAGCGGAGAGAGGCCTTACCAATGTAAGGAATGTGGGAAAGCCTTTAGACAGATTTCAGCCCTCACTACACATAAAAGGACTCACACTGGAGAGAGGCCTCATGACTGTAAGCAATGTGGGAAGGCCTTTAGGTACCTCTCAGCCCTCACTATACATATAAGGACTCACAGTGGAGAGAGGCCATATGAGTGTAAGGAGTGTGGGAAAGCCTTCAGGCAGATCTCATCCCTCACGACACATATAAGAACCCACAGTGGAGAGAAGCCTTATGAATGTAAGGAATGTGGAAAAGCCTTCAGGTACCACTCATCCCTCACTACACATATAAGAACTCACAGTACAGAAAAGCCGTACGAATGTAAGGAATGTGGGAAAGGCTTTAGGCAGCTCTCAGCCCTCACGACACATATAAGGACTCACAGTGGAGAGGGGCCTTATGACTGTAAGGAATGTGGGAAAGCTTTTTGGTACCTCTCAGCTCTCACTGCACATATAAGGACTCACAGTGGAGAGAGGCCTTATGTATGTAAACAGTGTGGAAAAGCCTTTAAGCAGCTCTCAGCGCTCACTCCACATATAAGGACTCACAGTGGAGAGAGGCCTTATGAGTGTGATCAGTGTGGGAAAGGCTTCATTCTGTCCTCACACCTTTCTAGACATATAAAAACTCACAGTGGAGAGAAACTTTATGAAGGTTAGGAAACGTGCAAACCCCTAGATATTTCCCACCCATTACTGCCCTTGGAACTCAGAGTGTGGAGACCCTAGAAATGGAAGGGCTATAGGAAAGCCTTTAGAGTTTCTTCACACTGATTCTGACTTACAAGAGTTCACAGTAGAGAGACATATCAAAATTTGGATGTTTTATTCTCTCTGCCATTGTTTCAAGTAGAAAATTTTCAAAGTCTGATTGAAGCCCAGTGCTCCTCAGTGAGAAAGAAGGAAAGTGTTATTAGAACTTCTTGGTAACAGCAAGAATATCTTCATCAGTGTTGTTTTGTTTGTTTTCAGTCCAAGCTAAATTTGACCTTTTCAGAAAGGTCTTGACTAGTACAAATTAGGCTGTACAGAATCCCTTGACCAAATGTGTGGTTTTGTGTTTTTGTAATCTTTTGTGGATGTTATTTTGTGTACAATAAAATAACACTGATCTTATTTGGTTTAAATGTGTTTTGCTTTGTTTCCACGTTAGTCACATTTCCTTTTGCGGGGTTAACTCTTTGATCCTTTATCTTTACTAAGTTTCTGATAGGGTGCTACTTTGAAACTGTGCAGGTACTGGTTTTTGGGGGGTTTTTTCTCCAGAATTCAAAACCTACATATGCATTTATTTTATTTTATTATTTTATTTAACTTTGTTTTTGTTTTTTTTTTTTGTGAACTGAGTGATAGTTTACATGGGAGAACATTGGTTTCGTTGTAATGATTACAATCTCCTCCGTGCATCATCATTCAACAGTATTTGCTTCCATTCCCTCTGTTTTTTTTGGGAGGGGGTGTTGGGGGGATGTACACAAAAACACTCAGCATATATAATAATTTACACCACCAAAGGGCACATTCTGCAAGCCTGCCTCCTGGCTGCCAGCTCTCAGTCCCTCTCTTTCCCTGAGTCTAGAGTCCTCAGCTGCTCCCTGTCTCCATGTCCCCATCTCTGCCTCCATCTCTGGTGCCGCTGCTTCTCTGGATAGGGTCCTGCATTACTCTTGTGCTCTTCTCCCTACAGAGGTCCTAGAGTCCTCTGTTCCTGGACTGTAAGATTAACCGCTCTCCCATTTTTTGTTACAAAACTCCTACCTTTACAGTTGTGACAGTCACAATTAGTCATGGTAACAATTACTCACTTTTGAGCAGACACTGTTTTTTTCATAGTACTTTGGCCTTAGTAAGCTTAGGCCATTATTGTCCTGATTATCATTGCTCTGGTGTTTACCAGAGTTTTTTTCTGACCCAATCCTTTCTTCTGTGTTTATTGATTAGAATTTTGTAAGGAATCAATTTCCCTTCTCCTCACATTATCCCGATGACTTTTACTTTTTCCCTTACACCGGCTAGCCCACATTTCCTTATTAGGCCCTCAGTTCATTAGATGGATGTGGTTTTTTGGTGTTTTCTTTTGCCATGTGTCCATTGTTGTTAAGTGTTGTCAAGGTGATTCCAACTCAAAACCATGCTGTAGAGCATTTCCAAGGAGCCGCTGGTGGGTTTGAACCACCAACCTTCTAGTTAACAATCCAGTGCTTATCCAACAGGACTCTGTTATCGTTTGCATGTTACCTTTTCCATTGTTTATGGCTCCTCCTGTTTTTTCCTTCCCCAAGCTCTGGAATCAAATTTTTCTTCAAGAAATCAATTTTTATTTTTGATAGGTCTGGATGTTAGGTATGCTTATTGGTACTTGGTTTTGGGTTGGTGGTTATGTGCTGTGGAGTCAATTCCGACCCATAGCGACCCTGTACAGGGTTTCCAAGGCTGTAAATCTTTACGGGAGCATAAAGCCTCATCTCTCTCCCACAGAGTGGCTGGGAGTTTTGAACTGCTGACCTTGCAGTTCGCAGCCCAAATCGTAACCACTACGCTACCATTTAAACAGTCAATATGTTGTACTGTGGTGGCTTATGTATTGCTGTGATGCTGAAAGCAATGCCGCCAGTGTTTTAAATACCAGCAGGGTCGATCACACATGGTGGCCACATATCTGTGGAACTTTCAGACTAAGACAGACTAGGAAAAAGGAGAGGCAGACTGCTTCTGAATGTTTAGCCACTGAATGCCTTATGAATAACAGTGGAACATTGTCAGATACAGCGTCTGAACATACAAGTGTTATGAATAACAGTGGAACATTGTCAGATACAGCGTCTGAACATACAAGTGTTATGAATAACAGTGGAACATTGTCAGCTATAGTGCTGGAAGATGAGCCACTCTGGTTGGAAGACACTCAGAATATGACTGAGGAAGAATTGCCTCCTCGAAGGTGAGTTGAACACAATTATGTGAATGGAGTGAAGCTTTCAGGACATTCATTTGCTGGTAGGGTACAATTAAATAGAAACCATCGCAAACACCCATCAATTAGGAACATGGAATGTACAAGCTGTGAATCTTGGGAAATGGAAAGTTCAGAGATTAAGTTCAACGCATTAGGATTCATTATCCTAGGTATCCGTGAGTTAAAATGGACTAGCTTTGTCTGTTGTGAATTAGAAAACCCTATGATTTACTATGGGGAGTGGTGGCTCCATACTTCATACTCCAAGGTCCTCGAGTCAAGCTTGCTAGCTGTTCTGTAGGACAAAGTTGAGGCTTTCTGCTCCCACAAAGATTTAAAGCCTAAGAAACCCTGTACAGGATCGCTGTGAGTCAGAATTAACTTGACGGCACTTAATAACAACAGCAATGGTTTACCAGGCCGGAGTAACAAATTGGAGAGGAATGGCAGTGCATTTATCATCAAAAAGAAAGGGTCAAGATCTGTCTTGAAGTACAATGCTGTCTGTGGTTGGATAATATCCATACACCTACAAGGAAAATCAGATAATGCCTCTATTTTTCAAATTTATATACCAACTACTAAAACTAGTGATGGTGAAATTGAAGAATTCTCCCAACTTCTTCTGAGTCTTGGTGTGGCACTGTAGGATAAGCACTGGACTACTAACTCCAGGTGTTCCTCGAACCAACTTCTTAAGTTTGAAATTGATCAAACATATATTCAAGGGGGAACAAACAAGATGGCAGATCAGGTGGACGTATAGCAGAGAGCTCCGCCAACAACAACACAGAATACCCGACCAAGCAGGCTCAGGGGATGGTCCCAGA